GGGCCAGGCGGGCCGCCAGTGGGAAGGAGTTCCACAGTCTCTGGGAGCAGCCACCAGGAATGCCCTCTCCCATGTCCCCACCAAACGCATCTGGTTGTTGTAAAATTCCCCACATTTTCCGACCAAGGGAATGCATCCCCTCATGATACGATTTGGTGTTTTCCCACGTTATAGTTTTACAGCCCACATTCTGTTGGTGATTTCCACGTGTGTACGTTAAGATGGCCTAATTCATAGCGACAACGCGCCACAGGCCAAAGAAGCACAAGCGGTGTCATCCAGGCGCATGCCCGGCCGTGCCACCTCCAACGTGTTCATGAGCAGCTTGTCAGCACCATGGGGAGCGATGCTGTTTGACACCGGCTTGCAGAACACCTCCCCAATGGGATTTGCATTTTTAAAGGCTAACATTGGTGACTTATATATTTTGTAAGCCATTCTGTGAGGGTTCATTACCTTCAGAAAGTCCCTTTCATTTCATTCCTTTTTTTCCATTTCATTTTTATTAATTAACACACACACACCAGATTTATCCTCAAGACTAAGAGAACCCAAGGCAGCATATGATATTAAAGCAGACAGACAGACAGACAGACAGACAGACAGACAGACAGATAGATTAGATAGATAGATAGATTAGATAGATAGCTAGATAGATAGATAGATAGATAGATAGAGAGATACAACGGGATTTGCATTTTTAAAGGCTAACATTGGTGACATATATTTTGTAAGCCATTCTGTGAGGGTTCATTATCTTCAGAAGGTCCCTTTCATTTCATTCCTTTTTAAAATTTCATTTTTATTAATTAACCCCCCCCCCCAGATTTATCCTCAAGACTAAGAGAACCCAAGGCAGCATATGATATTAAAGCAGACAGACAGACAGACAGACAGACAGATAGATAGATAGATAGATAGATAGATAGATAGATAGATAGATAGATAGATAGATAGATAGATAGATAGATAGATAGATAGATAGATAGATAGATAGATAGATAGATAGATAGATAGATAGATCTCATCTAGTGATAAGCCAATACTCTGGGTGGTTTACAACAGTTCAAACCCAGGCAAATAAACAAATGAAATAACAATAAGTAATGCAAAATACAGTAACAATAACCAAGAAAAAACACAATCCAGAGGTAACAGCAACAAGATAAAATTCTAATGTAAAATACAATAAATTATTACAATATGGAAGAGCAATAAAACCAGCATCAAACTAAATCTAGTGGGAGAAAGAAAGAATGAGCATTAAATGGATGGATGGATGGATGATTTGCCCTTGGCATGACATGTCGGGTGTTCAGCACCTTCCGCTCCTGGGGTGAGTTCCCCCCTTCCCGGAAGCCGAGGGGGGCACACGGCCTCTCCACTTTACCTGGTAACAATAACTAATGTAAAATAACAATAACCAAGAAAAAACACAACCCAGAGGTAACAGCAACAAGATAAAATTCTAATGTAAAATACAATAAATTATTACAATATGGAAGAGCAATAAAACCAGCATCAAACTAAATCTAGTGGGAGAAAGAAAGAATGAGCATTAAATGGATGGATGGATGGATGATTTGCCCTTGGCATGACATGTCGGGTGTTCAGCACCTTCCGCTCCTGGGGTGAGTTCCCCCCTTCCCGGAAGCCGAGGGGGGCACACGGCCTCTCCACTTTACCTGCAGGTCTTCCAGTGCCCCCAGTTCCTTCAGCCAGGCCAGCTGCTCTTCCCCGTTTGCCCGGATGCGGAGAACCTGGTCTCTGGAGAAGGAGAAAGAGAAGCCAGTGGGTAGTCATGGATGGATGGATGGATGGATGGATCGATCGATGGATCGAAGGATCGATGGATCGATGGTTGGATGGATGATTCACCCTCAGCATGACATGTCGGGTGTTCAGCACCTTCCGCTCCTGGGGTGAGTTCCCCCCTTCCCGGAAGCCGAGGGGGGCACACGGCCTCTCCACTATACCTGCAGGTCTTCCAGTCCTCCCAGTTCCTTTAGCCAGGCCAGCTGCTCTTCCCCGTTTGCCTGGACGCGGAGAACCTGGTCTCTGGAGAAGGAGAAAGAGAAGCCAGAGGCCACCGTGATGATCCGGTCTTGCAGCTCAGAGCGGACTTTGGACATTTAAAGGGTCCGAGAAGTTTGAACAAGTCAATTCTGCTAGGAAATAGCAGCATGACCTAGAGTGGGTGCTCACAAACCAACCCTTTTTCACTCTGGGTTTTTTTTGCTTGCTTGTTTGCTTTTGTTTTTGAGATGGCACAGTTCCCCCCCCCCCGCTTATATACTAATGAAGAGGAATCATTCAAGATGTTCCGAATAAGGTTTTTAATAACAGAATACGTCCATTTGTACACCGGAACCCAGCCGAATATTTAAGCTGATGTCAGTTCAGTGATGTAATTTACGAAATATGTTTGTGGGTTTGGGTTGTTGTTTGTTTGTTTTGAGACTACAAATCCCATCATCCCCCAGGTTGTCTAGCCAGGATTCTGGGTGCTGTAGTCCAACCACTTAATTTTTCTCCCCACATGTAGTTTTTAGTCAGTCGTTTGATTCAAGAAGTTTTTTAAAAAAGCTTTTGATTGAATTCGAATATGTTCCCACCTGAAGGCGAGTGGATTTAGCACTTCAAAAACTATTTTGGAGTCTATAAAATAATTTTATCAATAATTTAATCAGTAAAAACATGTGTTTTTCAGTGCAAGAATTGATTTTAAGACGTGGTAGGTGTCAGGGACCTCCTCAAAAGATCCAAGGGCAAGGATCATGTGAATATCAAAAAAAATTCTACTCTCTCTCTCTCTCTCTGGAAGTAAAACTATGGTTACCCTTCCTGTCTTATACAGATTGAATCAATTTAGATTTTGAATAAACAGCGCAGTGTCTGAAAAATGAGCATCTGAATGGCTCCAGGAATTGGAAGACATGATTTATTAATATTTTAAAATATGGAAAAGTCAGCTTAAAATGTCACCAAACAGGGAAGCCGCTCCACCAGATTTCTTTGAAATGTGGTCGTGAAGATGCCACCTTTATGATCTCTCCTAGTTTTCCTTCCTCGGCAAAAATAACAGGAAACCAAAATGATAAATAAAGAGGTCTGTGCACTAAAAGAATAATAACCTACATCCTCATCGCCTTAGAACAGCAGAGCTGGAAGGAACCCCAAAGGTCATCCGGTCCAGCCCCATCAAGGAGGCACAATGGGGGGGACACAATCCAACTCCCCACTGACCTAAACTCCTGAACTATCCAGCCATTTCATTTCATGACTGTGAAGATAAATCTGATTTATTCTTCAGTTTGCCCACATTTCTCCGTCTGTACTCACCCAACGAAGTCCATCTGGCCAAAAGCAGTTGATACCAGAATCACAAAGAATGCAAGCTTCTCCATGATCGACCAGAAAAGGTTTTTAAAAAAATCCACCTCCATCGGCTTGAGGTGGGTGAGAGATATTTATGCATGCTGGTTCCTTCGTAGCATTTCTCAAGGACCAGCCTCTTCATTACTCATGTCCGTATGGATTGCAGGATTAGAGATAACTCTGCAACAGGGTTGGAAACAAGCTGTTGCTGGAGTCTCTGGAGGGTTTATTCGGATTTGCATAAAGAGAATGCAACTCCCTTCACTTAAACCAAAATATAATAGCCATGAGGACTGTGTGGTGTAGTGGTTACAGTGTCGGACTCGGATCTGGACGGTCCTCTTGGCTAATCATGAATCAAGCTACAAAGTTCGATGCGCAATGATTGTTGGCCCATCTTCTCTGGGTGGTGGTGAAACTTAAATAGAAGAAGTTAGTGGTCTTCTTTAAGTTTTACATCTGAGGAAATCAATGGTATTAAGCCCCACTTTTCTTCACCCACCCTCCAGGAAGAGAGTCGCCCTTCCACTAAGAGGGTAGACCCACCATAGGAAGTAACTCCTTTGCAAAATCATCTCCCAGGATCCCATCGGAACCACCTGAACTTCAGGCATCATGTCCAGGGAGAGGCTCTCAGACAGAGGGGGCTACATCTCAGCCCTAGAGAAATGGGGCCAACTCTAGCCTGAGGCGGAGGGAGACGCCGGCCTCAGGCAGCAGATGCAGGGGGGCGGGTGTGTAGCATGGCAGATGTCCCACTTCTTTCTCAAGAATTCTCCCTTTTCCCTTCCCTTTGAAGACTGAGCTTTAGATGCCACACAAGGCTCTTTGTGGGACCGAATGAGCTTGCCTTCCCCTTCGCTGTGTTGGAGGGCCAGAGCTTTGAAACGCTACTTCTCAGGACTACAATTCCCAGAATCCCCCAGCCAGCTGTGGGACCTGCAGTCCAAACAAGCCATGTTTCGATGCTCTGTGGAGGACACGATCCCAAGGCCATTTCTGAAGTGAAATTCAATGGTCCATCCAGTCAGATATTGTACATGGATGAGTGAAGTGGCCGCCATCTTCCCTGTTACCTCAGGCAGCTAAGTATCTTGGGATGGCTTTAAGGCAATGCTGAGAAGTTTCTCTCTTTCTTGACTATCGCTCCCAGAATCCCCTTCGTGCCTAGCTGGGTGGAGGATTGTGGGAGATGTAATCCAAAAAAAGTAGCTCTTCTAAACTTTCTTTGTGACACCATACTGCTGAGTCCTGGGTCAACCAGAGAGGAACGATCTGTGACAGCAACTGAATGGAGGCACCCTTAGGGCAAACCATCCTGTCTGGGTTTTGTGGCCTTTTCTTGCCTCTCCCAGTAGATCTCGACGGTTGGTCTTCTAGAACCGTGGTTCTCCGCCTGGAGTCCCCAGAGGTTCTTGGACTGCAACTCCCAGAAGCCTTCAGCCCTCGCGGTGTGGGCCAGGATTTCTGGGCGTTGTAGTCCAAGAACCTCTGGGTTACCCAAGCTCGGGAAGATGTTGGACTTCAAATCCCAGAATTCCCACACTTCATGGCCAACGGTCGGACGTTTGAGGCATTGACGTTCACAACATCTGGAGGACCACCGGTGGAGAACCACAGTCCCACCCCTGGCCACGAGGCCCCACCGCAACGTGGCCCCATCTTGATGAAAGGCAACCAGCGAATCCTGGATGCAACTGGGCTCATAGGATAACGTTCCTTCTTAGTCAAGGGTTCATGGACCTGCAGAACAGACCTAACATGGTAATCCTGCGTCCTTTCACAGGACCCCGGGTCAGAGGGAAGTTTATCTATCTTCCACGTTTTCTCATTCTGGTGAGTAAAGCAGCAGCTGGCAGAGCCAGTGAAGGACAGGGAGATAAGCTGCTAACGTGCTGGGTGATAAGTTGCTGGCATGCTAAGAAGACATATCAGTTTTCAAGTCCTCCATATGGATCCGGCAACTGGCCGTGAGGATTTACATCACGGGTAACAGGTGGGTAAATCTATAAGAGATTGGAGAATTTTTTCCTGTTGGGACAGGTGGCGTGTGCCGAAACCTGGCAGCTGTCCAGAGAGCTTAGAAAAGTTTTTTTTTTTGGGGGGGGGTGGATCTATAACTTCCAGACTCCTTCATCTAGCATATTGATTTTATTTTATTGGCTTGTTTATTTTATTTCTGTCACACTTCCCCCCCCCAATTGGGATTAACCCTCGCCGAAATCTTCCGATGGCGTGCCCAGCGGGGACGGCGATGTCCAGAATTCCTCCGACTTTTTGGTGCTTTGGCTGTAAAATGTTTCTGCTGCAAAGGGAAGAAATAACGGAGGTGGTTGGGCTGAAAGGGACTTTGTCAGGGCCACGAAAAGCCACAGAAGTGGCAAGCTTCGGGGCCCACAGGATTCTTCATCTGACAAGAGAGAATGAAAACTAGAAGGATTTTTTTTTAAAAAAAGCAAAAAGTCCACAAAATGGAATAAGCTCGTTGGACTTTTTGTGTCTACAAGGAGCTAGATAAAGGAATTATCCAGACAGAGCAGTCATTCTTGCACAAAAAAAGTAATAATAATAATACAAGACCATGCACCGATGGTATCACACAGAAATCCCACCTTTGCCAATTTCAGCCAGCTGTTTGCAATTCCAAGATCTTCAACCTGAAGTCAAAAAAACTTGCCTCATCTAGATGGAGCATTTATTATCCACTTTGCATCTAGTTCATTGCTGGCGCTTATCGTTTGGGCTGGACATATTCTTATCTGAGGTAACTAATTTCTCGGCTCATTTCTGGTGGTCAACAGGCCGGCCGAGGAAACCAGGAAGGGCTCAGGTTCCTTCGCATGGAACGAGAACCAACAGCGACCATTTCAAACCCGTTTTTTTGTTTTCTAGAAGTGGTGGTTCTTAGGCAATGGGGAGTTGAATGGCAAAAAAAAATTAAATTAAAATACAAATCCACACACCGCTCATTTTTGAACTCACCTGGAAAAGCTCACAGATCCCAGGAGGCTCTGGAATATACTGATCAAAAGAAACACAACAGTTTTTCCCCCCGTATCAGTAGAAAACTTTATTTCTTTCTCAAAGGTCCTTGTGGGGTGGGGTGGGGGATGGTGAGGAATCCTATCCAACAGCAACAAGATTTTAATCTATTAAAAACAGAGATCAAGGAAAGTCTGGCCCTCCAGATGGAGAGGGGTCCGATCCTGCTCCACTCTAGCCAGTAGGCTGTACAGCCTGTAGTACAGGACTGTGGGGGAGACACATTCCAACCCCTTTTTGAGGGCCACCTGTTTTCCCCCATCCCAGAATTAAAAACCAACACCAGAGTTTATAGGCTGAATCCCCTTTTCCAACACGCTCCATGAAAGGGCAGCCCCTGAATCACCCAGCGTGAGACCAATCCGTGCTCTTCCCTTTCTTCCCGGTCACTTCACGTGCCTCTGGAACAACATCGGTGACCTTTAACAACAGTGGATGGATTGCATCTTCCTCATATCATTTCACCCTTTTCCTTGGGAGGAGGGAAGGGGGAAAAAGAGAGAAATTGTGGGGGAGCGGTCGGGAGACAAAAAAAAAGAAAGAGCCATCAAATAGAATGACATTCCCAAAGCAAATAGCATCAGGTGGTATCTCATTATTGATGTACTTTATATTACTACTTCTCTGGTCAACTTGTTCATTTTTCTTGACACAACAAGAGAGGGGTACAAATTGTATTTTGGGGGGGGGGACTGTACATGATGGATTTCCCCAAAGTTGTCAACAGGACGAACGGTTCACCCGCCTCAAGAAAATGACGAAGGAACGTCGGCGTGCCGAGCCAGAACCCTGTTGACTCCACCAACCCGTCCTTCGTTCTCTCTAACCCGGTGGTCGCCAGCCTTGAATCCCAAGATGTTTTTGAACTAAAACTCCCAGAAGCCTTCACCATGAGCCAGGGTTTCTATGGACTGTACATGATGGATTTCCACAAAGTTGTCAACAAGACAAATGGTTCACCCCCGCAAGAAAATGACGAAGGAACGTCGGTGTGCCGAGCCAGAACCCTGTTGACTCCACCAACCCGTCCTTCGTTCTCTCTAACCCGGTGGTCGCCAGCCTCAGATCCCAAGATGTTTTTGAATTAAAACTCCCAGAAGCCTTCACCATGAGCCAGGGTTTCTGGGAGTTGTAGTGTAAGTGCATCTGGGGGACTCAAGGTTGGGATCCTCTGCTCGAACCACGAACTTCAGACTTCTCTGTGGCAGAAATGCCCCTCTTTTTATCTCAAGGCTCTGTAGGAGAGCCACCACGGACGTTGCCTCTGAGCAGGCGCCTCCCGTAACCCCTGCGCCTGCAGGAAGCTGCGAATGGCCTCCGCGTGGCCCACTTCGGACTCTTCCTGGAACTTCTTGGCCAAGTCTACCAGGCGGCTCACCAGCTGGTCCTTCTCCTTGCTGTGGCCACCCGCGATTAGGAGGCCCGCCATGTACTTCTCCGAGGCCTTGTCCTTCAGCCCCTTCTTCTGGAGAAGGAAATCTCCCCACTGCAAACAGAGGGCCTGGCGGCAGGACGCACTGGTGTGGGGCGCCTTCTCCGCCAGGTTCGCATAGACCTCTTCCTCCTGATCCGGGACCTCCATCCCATAGAGCTTGGCCAGTTCCAACATGGGATCGAAAAACAGAGAATTCACTTCGACCGCCCGCTGGAAGCTTTCTATGGCCGGCTTGAAGCTCGCGGCTCGTTCTTCTGGCGATCCTCTTTCCATCTGGTACCTGTAGCACATGCCAAGGTCATAGTGAAGGATGTCGTAGGTGGGAGCCAGAGCGATGGCCTCTTTTAGGATTGAAATGGCCAGGGGTAGTGACTGTGGCATGAACATATACAACCTGGCCACTTTCCTTAGGACTTCAGGGTTTCGGCTCTGCTCCACCACTTCCTCCAGGAGGTGGTTGACTCGTTGCTCGCTTATACGACAAAGCAGGGTGGCCAAGTAGACTTTCATCTCGTAGTTTCCGGGTTGCATGAGGACGATCCCTTCCAGCAGCTCCTTGGCCTTGCCCCAAAACTCTTGCGTCTGGAGATGCTCCCAAGTGGCATAGAGAGAGACCGCCAGGCCAGACCAGAACTGTAAATTAAACAGGTCTTGCCTCAGCGCCATTTCAAAGCACTGTTTGGCCTTCGGCCCGTTCCGGAAGCCCGCCGCCAGGAGAGACCAGCCTTTCTGAGCCAGGATTTCACCCGTCTTCACCGAGTAAGGCTCAGGGCTAGACATCATTTGGCAGATGCGCTGAATCCGGTGAAGGTAGAGATTCGTCATGTCGTAATTGCTCAAGTGATAATAAACCCAGGCGTAGTTCCCGTAGATCAGCAGGATGTGGCAGGTGATGTTGGTCAGCTGGTCAATTGCCAGAAACATTTCTGCTTCCTTGAGCGTTTTCAGCGCCTCGCAGTAGCGCTTCTGCCTGTGGTACAGAAATGCCTTGAGGGCGGTGTAAGTGCCATGGTTATGGTACGGGGTGAATTCTGTCTTGTAGGTCAAGAACTGCAAGAGGTGTTCCACATCTACCTGGTCTTCAAACTCAACGTTCCAGGTGAAATGGCACTGTAGCAACCGTAGCTTCTCCCATAAAAGTCTTCTGCTGCAGAAGGAAGAAACAAACAAATAAACAAAAAGGAAAGACAAGAGTCAGAGTTGGATTATACACTTATAGGATGAATAAAGTGGTTCAAAAAGTGGTATGAACTGGAGTTCTTCGCTAGGCAAGAGATTACCCAAAGTTAGGGATGGGAAAAAGATTGAATCAACAGTCCAATCTGAGTATCGGAAGTATCTTTTATGAGTGAGCCTTCCCTGCTCTTGAGATCGGGTGATGGAATTTTCAATAAAGACTTCCTCCTTTGGTCAACCAGCTCCCCCGGCTTACAGACAATGAGATGGATGACTTGGGAGCTGCACAAACTGTAGAAGAGACAGGAGGAAGTCTTTAATGACCAAAATTACCAGTGATGTCAACAGTCTTCCATAGATTTGATTTAGGCAAGATATATAGGCCACTTCATTGTGTTTCAGTCATAGAAACATTGACGAATTAAGTTGGAAGGGGCCTACAAGGCCATCGAGTCCAACCCCCCTGCTCAAGGCAGGAATACAAATCCAAGGAGATCTGCCAGGTGGTGGTCTAAATTTCTCTTGAAGACCTCCAGCGTGAAAGCCCTCACCACCTACCAAGGCCACTGCTTCCCTTGTTGTACTGCTCTAACAGTTAAGAATTTTTCTGATATTCCACCAAAATTTGGCTTCCTGCAGTTTGAGCCCATTGTGATCTCTTAAGCCTTTGTTTTATCTTAGAAAGACAATCTAATGGTCTTTTGTCTTTGTAATTCCTTCTGTGAATTGCCCATTGCATCAAAAAGCAGGACTAAACAGAAATTAAAGGAATCAACCCATTCTTCTGGCTGAGTAGATGGGCTGTCCTGTGTCTCCAGGGACAGTCACTAAAGAGCTGGTGTTATTGGCTGAAAAGGCTCCGTTTTTGGCCACTCTCCGTCCACAGCAATAGCCTTGTCTGGTGCTCAAGCAAAGAGACAGATTCAATTCAGCAATCTGCTAGGATGTGTGAAACATTGCACAGGACCTTCCATCGATAGGGTCTGTGCCCGATCACAGAACTGCAGGTAATAATGATATTTATCCCAGGGCCTGGAAGTGTGCTGCTATAAAATTTAGCATCTGTTTTCAGATGCCACAGGGTATCTCTAAGGCACGATAGAAGGGCAACAGGAAAAAGCCTCTCCTGGAAAGGCTTCCTCCAAGGAGCAGCAGGAGAGAAGTATGTGTCGTGAGGGCAGGCCAGCGGATTCAGCCGTGCCGTCATGCACCATCATCCACGAAGTGATCTGCGCTTCTTGTTACCGATTGACACAAAGCCACAAAAAGGACATAACCATGACATGAGCACTCAGCAATATTAGTGATTATGATGATGAACAGGCACATGCCACTCAGGCTAGCTTAGCGATCGTTAACTTAGAAGTCAAGGAATTTTCTCCCACTCTTTGGCTGTGAAAGCAAGTGGATCCGAGTGAGACGTTTTTTTCATGGTAGCCGTGGTGACTAGCCATAGAACCAAAATAAGCCTTGGGATGGCAAGTAAATTTAAAAACAGACCTGTGGGCAGGTGGGCGAAGATGTTAGGGTTCAGTATCATTTACCGATGCTGTTGACTCAAAAGATGCGTACACATCCTTCGCTTTCTTAAGTCACACTGTGTTTATATTCTGCCTTAGTAGGATTTTTAGATTGTGTTGTGTTTCTTCTTAACGCCTCCTTGGATAAGATAAAATCCGGCATTTTCTTTCATTCGCTCTGTGCGGGTACCAGAGGTCTCCGTAACGAGGAAATGGAGGGACGCTTTTAGTAATGCCTAAGTAGTTGTTTTTTTTTTACTAAAACTCTCCCAGTTCCGCAGGAGCAAACAGACCTGTGTGAAAGGGGGTCCCTCTCTCTCTTGCTGGCCAAAAGAGGGGGGGGTGGTAGTCACAACTTTACTACCAAGTCAGAGGTGGGGGCTTTTGTCCCATTCACAAAGAGGAGGTTGTGGGAAGAAGGTCTACCCCATGTGGGCTGTTTTAAGCTGGTTGGAGAGAAGATGCAACAGAAAAAGACAGTAGGTTAACCAAAAAAAACCAAACCCACTTCTCAATCGTTTGCCCTTGAGTAGATGGGCTGGAGAGCTCAGCGGTTTAGATTTCTGGCTGCGAAGCCAGAGGTTCGGAGTTCGATTCCCCCCACGGTGCATCTCCAGAGAGAAGAGCCAGCTTGGGTAGCCTTGGGCCAGCTGCACACAGTCCCAGGGTGCCCCTGGAGGAAGGGAATGGTAATGCACTTCTGAATATTCTCTACCTATAAAATCCTCAAAAAGGTCGCCATAAGTCAGCATTGACTTGATGGGACATGTTTATTATGGAAACTGGCTGGAGAACTCAGGGGTTGAGGTCTCCGGCTGTGGTGCCAAGGTTGGGAGTTCAATTCCCCACGCTGGGCCTCCTCCTCGGAGAGCTGGGTGGCCTCGGGCGACCCCAGAAGAAGCGAAGGGTGAACCGTTTTTGTGTATTCTCTGCTTAGAAGCGCCTGGAAAGGGTCACCATAAGTCAAAATTGACTTGACGGTGCCTCATTATTATTAGAGGTGCATAAAGAACTCTTGTTTTATTGATTAAACTGACGTCCTGCATCCTAGAACGTAAATTTCTCCCAAAATCCACACCTCCAAAATAACCTTGTTTCGGTGGCATTTGGAAACACAGGTCTAAACTCCTGGGTAATGTTCAAGATTTGCCCCTTATCTATAACAAGGAAAAAATTCACAATCAATAAGTAAACTTAGAACAAGGAAGTGAGAAACCATCCCTTCACCTCAAAAATAGGGTCACCTTTTGCTAGTTACAATCCTAATGTAAGTTCACGTAGACCTTTTGTCACTGGGAGATGAATCAGTTAACTTATTACTTGTAACTAATTCTTTTCAATCTCAAAAGTAATCTGCTCCTGCTGAACTCCATGAACTGCGTTCTCCCAAGACCCGAAAGGAATCCACAACATCAATCAACCTCATTAAGTCGTGTTACAGACGGCTTTTGCACGAAAAGGACTTCCTTCCTACCGTCACTTACTGGAGAGGAAGTGCCACAGAACGCGACGGGGCTGACCCCTGAGCAGAAGAATACAGGATTGCATTTACTCAGACGTCAGACCCCTTTTACAGAACTAATTTGCCAGTCGTTGTTTATGGGATTTCAAAGTTAGCTTGGCCTTCCTGACCCACAACGTTTAGTAACTCCCTTTTGCCCAGTCCAGTCCAGTCGGGCATCTGCATCTCCAGCAGAGGAAGTATGATCATCTTCTCTGTCCTTTATCCTCCGTGGAGATCATTTTGCAACCGCCAGGATCATGGCCTCTCTGTCCCCACAGCCCCACCAAAAATATTGCTCGTTGGAAGTGTACAAATCTGTGTATGTGTGTTTTTTTGGACTAACTGCTCCGGGAATGCCATTGGTCAGTATATGCTGCCTGGGGAATTCTCCAGTCCCCCAAAAACCCACAGACCGAGACACCTCTATTTTCTTGCATTTTCTGACCCAGGGAGAAGTTCTGGCCCCAGTTCGCCTTCGTCCTTTGCATTGCATCAGAGGCAGCCAACCCACACTCCCATCATCCCACCCCTCCCCTCCTCAATGCTCCTAGTCCTCTTACCTTTGCATCCTTCAAGCTTCCAGGGGAGACGGTTTTGCAAAGATGCCCCTCGGCGTGGCACCGCCTGACCACCCACCACCTCAAAGAAAGTGCTCAGTGGGAGGGACCCTTCGCTTTCGAAACGCAGAGACCTGGAGGGGGAGGACCTGGCGGTGCTCAATATAAGTCTTTGGCCTCCTGCAAGGGGGGGGTGGTCTTTGTAAAACTCCACAAACACACACACAAAAAACCCCGGTGCTTTGAATCTGGCCCCTGGGAAAGTGGGGTTGAAATCCATCAGAAACCAATCCTTGAAAAGCCTCACCTGAGCCTTCCAGGTGCTGGAGGGCCAAGGGACGAGCCTTTGAACCAGGAAGAGGAGAGGGAGGTGTTTCTGCTCTGAAGAGGTAAGGGAGAGTGTGGTGTAGTGGTTAGAGGGTTGTGTCAAGACCTGGGGGAGCTCCCGGATGACCTTTCCTGGAGATTAGGATTGCAATCCCCAGGGGATCTTTCTGAGACCAGGTGCTGATCTTCTGCTTACGCAGGACCACCCATCACCTAAAGCGACCTGGCTCCCCGAAGCAGGTCTTCCCAACCTGGGGTCCTCAGAGGTTCTCGGAGTGCAACTCCCAGAAAGCCTTCGCCCCTCGCTGGGCTGGCTGAGGATGGCTGGGAGTCGTAGTCCGAGAACCTCTGGGTCACCCAAGGTGGAGAAATGCTACTTGAGGTCTCGTTCGTATACCTTTGCTCTGACAGGTAACCCCATAGGAAAAAAAAAGACTGACAGGTATTGATGGATCCTGTTTCTTGTCAGGTTGGCCGGCCTGATCCAGTAGCCAGAGCTGTGGTCCATCTCAGCTCTTCCTCTTCCCAAATGGGAGGAAGGTGCCCAGGCTAAAAATGAGGAGTAAGGAGCCTTACACAGGAGCAGGAGGAGATCGGCACTTTTAGCAGTGATGATGCAGACAAATGATGGGGTACTTAAAAGAACTGGGGGTGAGGAGCACTCGGCAGGTTGGCCGGCCTGATCCAGTAGCCAGAGCTGTGGTCCATCTCAGCTCTTCCTCTTCCCAAATGGGAGGAAGGTGCCCAGGCTAAAAATGAGGAGTAAGGAGCCTTACACAGGAGCAGGAGGAGATCGGCACTTTTAGCAGTGATGATGCAGACAAATGATGGGGTACTTAAAAGAACTGGGGGTGAGGAGCACTCGGTTCAGTTCCCAAGTTCTTCTGACAAGGCCCTTAAAAGTAGTTTTAGAAACTTAACTACTTCTTGCAGCTTAATACTACTAATTACCACTATGTGCTCTGAAGTTCATTGTGACTTCAGAAGGTTTTCTTGGTATAGAAGTGGTTTACCGCTCCCTCCTTCTGGAGGCGCTCTGCGACCACCATACAGCTTGCCCAAAGCTGCGCAGGATGGCTCTTCTCCTGGAAGGAACTGTGGCGGATCAAAGCTCCAAGCCACGTATTCCACGGAGCTATCTAGCCAGCTGTTACTCAGTACAGTATAGGCCCTACACAGCACTATTGAAACGGAACTTGGTAATTATTAGTCACACTACTAATTGCCCCAAAGTTACTAGTTACAGCTATCTATGTTATGCAAAACTAGTTACTTCTGCACTTTAGCTGAATGGGAAGTTGAAAGACATGGAAGTCAAATCATGGTGTGTGGTGGGGGGACAATCCACACAGAGGCATGGTATCCTTTTCCATATCGGTAGAAAGAAGGCTTTATTTCACGTGTTCAAGGCAACAAAACTAAGAGTTGGTGAGAGGAGAGCGGCGCGTGGAGCACCTTGCGTGGTGGGCTTGCTCTTTTCCACGGATTCCCACCCGTTCCCTGCAAAAACAACTCTTTCTCAAAGGTCCTTGGGGGGGGTCAGGGGGATGGCGAAGAATCCTATCCAACAGCAACAAGATTTTAATCTATTAAAAACAGAGATCAAGGAAAGTTTGGCCCTCCAGATGGAGTGGGGTCCCATCCGGCTCCACTCTAGCCAGTAGGCTGTACAGCCAACAGTACAGGATTGGGAGGGAGACACACTCCAACCCCTTTTTGGAGGGCCACCTGTTTTCCCCCATCCCAGAATTAAAAGCCACCACCGGAGTTTATAGGCTGAATCCCTGCGGAAGGTCCCATTTCCGACACGCTCCATTGAAAGGGCAGCCCCTGAATCACCCAGCCGTGCTCTTCCCTCCCTCCCTGGTCACTTCACATGCATCCGGAACAACATCGGTGACCTTTAACGACAGTGGATGGAGTGCATCTTCCTCATATCATTTCACCCTTTTCCTTGGGAGGAGGGAAGGGGGAAAAAGGGAGTAATTGTGGGGGAGCGATTGGGAGACAAAAAAAGTCATCGGATAGAATGACATTCCCAAAAGCAAATAACCTGTGAACAATTAACAGCACCCAGGAGTTCAGCCACAACAAGAAGATGTCCATAAAAAAAGTGAACATCTCTCCCGAGCGAAGGGAGAAAATTCATGCTGCCGCCACCCGTCCTCGTTCCTTTTTTGGAGGTCCCGGAGACAGACACGGGGCTCCTTCATCTCAGCGCTCGGTGGTTGTGCCACCACAGCTCCTCACTCCCAGGGCCCGGCTCCTCATAGTGTACTGTCTGAAGGAAGCTGTAGATGGTGTCCGCGCGTGCTGTTTGGGAATCCTCCCAGAACATGTGCGCCAGGCTCATCAGGCGCCTCACCAGCAGTTTCTTGCCGAGGCCACCCGCGATGCAGATCCCCGCCATATATTTCTCCAAGGCCTCTTGCTTCTGATTCTTCTTCTGGAGAAGGAAGTCTCCCCACTGCAGATAGAGAGCCTGAAGGCATTGCTTGCTGATGTTTGGGGCCTCCTCCACCAGGTGGGCGTAAATCTCTTCCTCGTAGGCTAGGAGTCCTTCTCCGTAGATCGTCGCCAGCTCCAGCATGGGATCGACAAAGAAAGCGTTCATTTGCACGGCCTGGTGGAAATTCTCGCCCGCGAACGTCAGCAAGCTTGACTTCCGTTCGGGAGAAGCTCCCTCCATCTGGGCCTTGTAGCACATGCCGAGGTCATAGTAGAGGATGTGGTAGCTGGAATCCAGAGCAATGGCCTTCTTCAAAATGGATATAGCTCGGGACAGCAGTGGCGGGTCACGGAGACACAACTTGGCCGCCCTCCGAAGGACTTCAGGGTTGAGGCTCCTCTCAGCCACTTCCTCCAGGAGCGTCCTTGCTCTTTGCTCATCTTTTTGCAGAAGCAACCTTGCCAAGTAGATTTTGGTCTCGAAGTTCTCAGGCTGATGAAGAACCACTTCTTCCAGCATTTCCGTCGCCTTCTCCCTGTACGGGTCGCTCTGAAGATGCTCCCAAGCGGCATAAAGAGCCATCGCCAGGCCCGTCTGCAGCTGGTTGTTAGACGGGTCCCTTCTTCGCGCTCCTTCAAAGCACTCTTTGGCCTCCACCCCGCGCTGGACACCTGCCACCAGGAGAGACCAGCCTTTCTGGGCCAGGATTTCGGGCAGCCCTGTTGGGAAAGGATGAGGACTGCAGAGGGACCGGCCAAGCTCCGCTATATGGTCCAGATACCGCTGCACCATCTTGTAATTGCTCAAGTGATAATAAATCCAGGCATAGTTCCCGTAAGTCAACACAGCCTGGCGCAAGAGGTTGTCAGGGTGGTCCTGCGCCAGAATGTGTTCTGCTTCCCGGAGACTTTTCAAAGCGTCGCTGTAGCGCCTTTGGTGGTGGTAGAGGAAAGCCTTCATGGTGACGTAGGTATCGCGGTTCTGGCATAACGTGTGTTTCACCTGGAGAGTCAAGTATTTCAGGAGATGTTCCACATCAGCCTGGTCCTCAAACTCAAAGTCCCAGGTGAAATGGCAAGGTAGAGCCTGGAGTTTCTCCCGTAAGGTTTTTCGGCTGCAAAGGGAAGAAAAAGGAGGAGGAGAAATCAGAGCTGGGTCATGTTGCTGCTGTTTGTTGTTCCATGCCATCAAATTACTTCCCATTTACAGTGGTGCCTCGCTAGACAGTTACCCTGCATGACAGTTTTTTCACTAGACATTGACTTTTTGCGATCGCTATAGCGATTTGCAAAACAGTGATTCCTATGGGGGAATTTCGCTGGACAATGTTTGGTCCCTGCTTTGCAAACCGATTTGCTTTTCGCTAGACAATGATTTCGCTAGACAGCTATTTCAATGGAACGGATTATCATCGTCCAGCGAGGCACCACTGTATGGTGATCTGAATGGGGTTTTTCAAGGTATGTGAGATGTTCAAAGGGTGAGTCACCATTGACACCCACCCAGTGGGTTGCCCCATGTCTGAATGGGGATTTGACTGGCGGTCTCCCGAGCCCTAGTCTAAGCACTACAGAACACTAACTCACAGTCTCTTTATTTGTGGTTGTGACGGATGTCAAGTGGCCCCCAATGTATGGAGACCCCAGGAATGAGCTCTCTCCAAGGTGTTCTTTCTGTCTTCAACAGCCCTGCTCAGCTTCTGAAAACCCGAGCCTGTGGGTTCCTTTAGGGAGCCAGTCCCTCTCATATCTGGTCTTCCTCTCTTCCTGCTGCTTTCCAAATTCCTGGGTACCGTTAAAGAACCATAAAGGTAGCATGAGCTTTTGAATTATATCCAGAACTGTTCATCAGGCAAAATGACACAGAAGAAAGAGGAGGAGGAGGAGGGAAATGGGGGAAACCACAACATTTCCCCCAAATCTCAACGGGTGTTATCAGCTCTTCTGGGTCTGCACATGGCTGGCCTAAAGGGTTAACTACATTGATTAACAGTCTGGGATTGAAATGGTCAGATTGGCATTATTTTTCCCTTGACTACAAGACATACAATTGCTGAGCATCAGCTGAGAGTTTTTCCTCCTAAATTGTACTTTTTTCCCCATCCACCACTGAAGCTATGGATCTTTTTTCCAGTTGAATACACTTGTATTGTTTTAAGCACTACGATCTGCTATCAGAAGCCCACACTTTGCTAACTGAAGGTGGGGAGAGAGGAAGTAAAGAAGCCCTCCCTTTGTCTCCAATTTATCTATTTACTTGTGATTTATTGACTTAATGAACTCATTAGCATCATGTAGAGCAGTGGTTCTTAACCTTGGGTTACTCAGGTGTTTTTGGGACTGCAACTCCCAGAAGCCTGCACCACCAGTTGTGCTGGCTGGGGTTTCTGGGAGTTGCAGTTCAAAAACACCTGAGTAACCAAGGTTAAGAACCACTGATGTAGAGCAGTGGTTATTCCCAACCTTGGGTCACCCAGATGTTCTAGGACTACAACTCCCATAAACCCTGGCCAGCACAGCTGGTAGTGAAGGATTCTGGGAGTTGTAGTCCTAGAGCACCTAGGTCACCCAAGCCTGGGTTTATCCATTGCTGCATAGGACAGCCGCCTTCGTTTGCACCTGAATATATATATTTAAAAAGCCAGTGCATAATATTTCCACAGAGCACCATAGGCATCCTCTCCCTTCAGCACAGGTCGAGAGGATGGGAGGGTTTTTCCAAAACCATTTGCCTATTCCAAAAACCTGCCCCCCCTCTTCCCACCCCACAGGAAAGCTTGCTTCCTTCTTCCTGCAAAAAAAAGCCCAGGGAATTCCAGGACTCCCCTCCCGGCTGTATCCCATGGGCCCCAAAGGAGAGTTCCCCCCCACACACACACACACACACGAACGCTCCTCACTTTTCCATCTTTTTGGCTTCTAGGTCGTTTCTCGAGAAAGATGCTCCTGGATCTGCTGATGCACAGATTGGTCACCAGAGTTTCTGGCCCAGCTCCCTCCCTCCAGAAGAAAGCAGCCGCATCCAGAAGAAGCCAGGCGCTGCCCAGATAGCAAAGGGTTGGCGTTTGCGACACCTGGAACATAAGCCGGAGCACGCCTTTGCAACTCACCTTAAATGGAGCAGAGAAGGGGAATAAAAGCCCACAGAGTCACACCTGGCAGGCACAGGTGCTGGTGGGCAGAGGGTGAGCAGTGGTGGAGGTGTCGCATTTCGAACCCGGCTGCCGGAGGCAGCCACAGAGGTTCCTGATGCTCTGAAGGGAAAGTGGGGCCACCCTTAGAGCGTGAGGGATCCGGATTCGAGACTCTCCTGCTAAACCACGCAGCTCAGTAAGTCGTCTTGGGCTGGTCGGCCTGACCCGCCTCGCAAGGCAGTTGTGAGGATAAAGTGCAAGACAGAAGGCATGTCAGCCGGTTGGAGGCAAGATGGGGTTAGGAACAGCACCCATAACTAGGAATAAATTAGTTACTGGGGGGGGGGAGAACAGGAAAAGGAGGGGAACCCTGCAGCCCAATGAAAGCCCCCCCTCCATTTAGCCCTGCACAACTTGGCGATGGATTTGAATTTTTTTAAAAAATTAGTGGGAAAGAGTTATTTTCTACCACATCCCATTGACCCACCCTGTTTGCCTGAGACCCATATATTTCTGTATGAGGGTGTGGGGGGGCAGAGATCAGTTTTATACCAACATGTTATGTATGATGTAACATGTCTTCCAGTTTGACCTTCATGGAAAGCGATGCTGGCTGGGGGATTCTGGGTGGTGTAGTCCAAAGCAGAAGTCACTGCTCTAAACTCTAAGGACCAGCCTCCTCCCCCTTTGCAAAAGCACACGGTTTGGGGCTCCCGGGTTGCAACGGCTGTCAGAATTATTCCGAGTTTATTCAGATTTCCTGAACTTAAAGGGCCAGCAGGCCATTTCTCTTCCTCGCCTCAAAGCCCACCTTGCTTGCCCGTCGCTTAGGTGGTGCAGTTGGTGAGAAGCAGGTCGGATGGGAGGAAGCAGCTCAGTGGTTAACATGGACGGAAGGGTCGCCTAGTGGTGGTAGCACTGAACGGAGCATCCTGGTGTGGACCCTTGCTTGCTGCTTGCATTTTGGCCCTTCCTAAACGCAGGTGCTTTGGGAGAACGGCTGGCCCCCTTTAGAGCCCATGTTGATGAGATATTCCCTTTGCAATTAAAGGGTGATAGAATTTTTCACTTCCGAAGAGATGATCCTGCAAACCATAATTCACTTCCAAGTATATGCTGGGCTTTTAGCATCTGGTGATCTATCAATATACAAAAATAAGCTGATTTCCACCTTGCAGAGCATGTTTATCATGTGGGGATAAACAGATGAGTTTAACACCTTAGGAGAGCACTGTGTCTAGTTACGGGCTCTCTGCTACATCTGCATTGAGTTTGGGGGGCTGCAGAAGTCCATTCAACTGCTCTCCCCAGGTGCCAGAAGCACACCCCACGTTGCTGCTAGACTTATCCCAAACTCCTGGCGCAGTGAGCGGACAAGACAGCTAGAAAAGCTATACTGGTAAATGAAGAATACAGGTGTATTTGGTAAGAAATTAAATCCGTAAACAGCTGCCTTGGAAAGGAATAGAAAAAAAAACCACAGAGCAGCTTCCTGATAAAGATCTTGTGGAGTTTCTTTCTGTCGACAGGGTAGAATTGTAAGGTTGAGGATAAGTACCCAGAATCTCATGGAGTGGGGATGATTCGAGCCAATGTTCTGTAGCCATGTGAAAATATCTGTACGGATGTTCCAGGGCAAAGGAAATAAATCTGTCATTTCAACTTTCCACTATCCAAAAAGTGTGGCTTAGATTCTTGGGAGGTGAGGGGTCCTCGGGACCAGCCTTACTGTTCCTTGGAGAGAGTTTGCTCTCCATCTCAGGCAGCAAAATCCGGAGAGCACAAAAGGGAAGGAAATAAATGGGTCCTTGTTAGCTTTGCAATTTCTGCCTTTTCATGGTTTAGAGTAGATGAGGCCTATGGGACTCCCCACCTCATGAGTCAAAATACTTTCTCTGGCTTATGGGTCCTTTGCGTCTCGATCCAGGCAGAGCGTTGTGCCCTAGCGGTGGAAAGGTCTTGGGCTGGGCCCACTCTGCTTGTGCAAAGGGTCTTGTGAATGGGGGAATGAGTCACCGGCTGGAATTCTGTCTGCAAGCCTAAATCTCAACGGCAAACTGCCATGAGCTCAGAAGCTGGTGTAGGCGATGGGCGCTGCATGTCAGCCACATGACACTGCGTGCAAGAAAGGCCCTTGCTGAATTTTTTAATTCAGGCAGCAATTCGCTGTGCAACTTCACACTGATGGACTGACCCTGGCGTAGTCTTCCAGTTGGATTCTGGCCATACTTTTAAATTATTAAGAGTAGGTATAATAACTGCCCAGGTGGGTCACATGCAAAGAGAAGACCCTTTGGCTCTACACTTTGCCCTTTAGGAAGAAACACACCTGGTGATTCTTAACTAGAGATGGGCATGAACCAGTTCGTCCTGATTCGTCCCAGTTTGGGTGCTGCTGCTCCTCTCCCCGCTTCCTCAGCCAATCAGCCACTTGCCAGGCCCAGCTTGCTTGCTTTCCCCACCTCCTCGGCCAATCTCCCAGTCAGGGGCAAGAGCCCAGACCTCTTTGCCCCGCCCTTTTCTCTGATTGGGAGATCAGCTGAGACGAGAGGGTGGGGCCAAGAAGCCTGAGTGGCTCCCGGGACCGGGAGATCCGTTGAAGATCACAAAGGCTGGGCCTGGTGAGGTGCGGATCGAGTTAGAGGAGGCGGGGCACGGGAGCAGCAGCACCTGTGCTGCCATCTTGACGAACTGGGGCGAACCGCTTCGTGCCCATCTCTAGTCTTAACCTGCAAGGAAGGAAGCCTTTTTATGGTGAAGATCCAGCCTGCAAAGAGAACCGGACGAGGAAATAGAACGAAGGAAGCAGAAAGGCCGCTGTGAAAGCAGGGCTGGGCATTTTGCTGGACCAGTGAAGATGAGGGAATGCACAGAGGAGGCAGGATCCACCTTCATTATTATTATTTTTTTTGCTGCTGGCGTCAGGGGGCTGGCTGTTTGTCTCAGGAGCGGCAAACAACTTACAAAGCAAATGTAGAATCATCCTCATCTTGGAACTACAGAAAAGCTGGAAGGGTCTCTCCAGATCATGAAGTGCAACCCTTGTCAAGGAGCCCCAGTGGGGAATCGAACTCTCAACCGCCTGAACCACTGCGCTAGCCGATGTGACACTTTATTAAACCACTGCAAATCAAACAACGGAGGCATGCTTTCATTAATTAAAAATCCCATCCTCGGGTACACACCAGTAACTTGTGAGTAGTGCAGGGAAAAAAATTATAAATGATTGTCCCAAAAATTCATAGCAAAAGTGGCCAGGCATCATCCTCTTAAGATGATTTGAAAGCCGGTTACAGGCAGGTTTTAGCAGGGTGATTTAACACTTCACATTAAATTTGGTAAAGGGGTCGCATTCTTCTCCATTTATAAGGTGTAAGGACCACACCACGCCACTTTTGGGATTTTTCTTTAAAATTTTATTTATTATGATGATTATTTTTTTTGGCCAGTTTACCAAAGAAGAAGGATTGCTGCCTCAGTGCGTTCTGCTTTAGCCCGGTCCTTCTTGCGTGGCTACGTATTCTGCGCCGAGGGTGCTGAATTTGTGAAATTTCAGGCTAGAGGGCATGTCTGCTTTTGCAAGGATGGACAGGTTGGGGGATTCTGGGGTTTGTAGTCCAAAATGGGCACTTTCCCAAGCTCTCCTGGTGACTCCTTTGGAAGGGAAAGTCATGGCCGCGTGCCACACCCTCCTTTCTTCCTCTCCTCCTCTTCAGTAAGGGTGATCCCGCACATACTCAAGGATGGTTTTCAGCCCCAGCCAAGTCTCCTGTGCCGTCGGAATGATCTGGTTGGCAGGCAAGAGGAAGCCGTAGTGGCCGGTGTCTCTCAATTCGAAGGCCAACGAGTATTTGATCCCGTAGTCATAGGTCCAGTCGATGCTGCCCCCACTGGCTTGGTCTGGGGAGAAAGCCACAGGAAAGACAGGTCAACGGTTTGACCGGCCAGAGAAGGTCTATCTGTCCAGAACGCCAAGCCCTCTGAAGAAAGATGGAAAGCTCTGGGGATCTTGAGCTTTGAGAAAAGAAGACGAAGGGGGGAGACCGGATTGTACTTTTCCAATACTTTAGAAAGCCTGTCCTACAGAGAAAGTGCAAGATCTCGATCCTCCCAGAGTGCAAGATATGCAACCGTGGGCTCAAGTGAAAGGAAGCCAGATTTCGGTGGAATATCAAGAAAAACTTCCTAACTGTTAGAGCAGTACGACAGTGGAACCAGTGACCTCGGGAGTTGGTGAGTGCTTCAACACTGGAGGCGTTCAAGAGAAAACGGGACCACCCATCTGTCGGATCTGCTTTGATTTGGGATTCCTGCCTTGAGCAGGGGGTTGGACCCGATGGCCTTTGAGGCCCCTTCCAACTCCATGATCCTGTGATTTTACGATCCGTTAGAAATGTTCATTTCAGATTGGGGGGGGGCCTACAGATTCCCAAATTCCCCTCTCTAGGAGTCCCTACACGATTTTACGATCCATTAGAAATGTTCATTTCAGATTTGGGGTGGGGGCGCTACGGATCCCCAAATTCCCCTCTCTAGGAGTCCCTACAGGTATCTTCAAGGTCTGGTTCCTCCAGATGGGACTCCCAGAAAGGGGAACTAGAGGGTGGCACTCCAGATCACCTCAGTCCTGGCCTGCACATCTGATAGTGAGGAGCAATGGGAGTTGTGGTTCCCACCACCTCTGGAGGGTCGCATGTAAAACGATTACTGGGGAGGATACATGTCGTGCCAGAGGAGAGCTTGGCAGATACGTGGGACGGCCAGAAAGACAGAACAAGGGGGGTCCTGGATCTAATCCAGAACTGAACTCTCTCTGGAGGCCAAAACATTGAAACGGAAGCTGTTTTATTTTGGGCACACCATGAGAAGGCCGGATTCCCTGGAAAAGATCATAATGCTGGGAAAAGCGGAAGGCAGGAGGAGACGAGAAAGACCATAGACAAGATGGATGGACTCGCTAAAGGAAGCCACTGGCTTGAGTTTACAAGAGCTGAGCAGGACAGTTGAGGAGGGGCCATTTCAGAGATCCCTCCTCCATGGGGTCACCGTACGTTGGACGTGACTTGACCGTACCTAACAACAAGAATAATGGGAGGATGAAGAGGGATTTAAGCCCTCGGCTCTGATACCTGGAAGCCACCATGTTTTGCCGAGGGTTTCCTGAGCACACCTTATCCCCTCCAGCTGCTCCTCCCTGGGCAGAAGGAGGCCCGAAACAGGCAGGGTCCATGCGGGGTGGGGTGGGGTGGGTGGGAGAGGACTTCACGTGGGTCACCCCAAGGCATTCGTCCCCCCTCCCTCCCTCTTCTCCCTGCATCCCTTCCATCTCAAACCACGCAAGGGTTTTATCTTATTTTATCCCAAGAAGGAATCGTTGGACCGTTTCAGAAGCATCTTAAAGAATATGTTGGAGAATGGCAAGAATACTTACAAATGACAGAACAGATGGGTCCGACTCTGTATTGGGTCCCGTAGAGGGAGGCCAAGGCGTTGGCGGCAGCTTGGGCCACGTCGTCCTAGCAAGAGAGAGCGATTAACAAACAAGCCATGGAGGATCAGGGTGACTGTTACATCATCCTGGCCTCACCTGCTCCTGAAGGAGGGTTGAATTTAATGCTAGGCTTGACTCACTAAGGCTGTCTGATTGAATTTTTTGGAGCCTCTCGGGCAACTTCTCTTTAGTAGGATTGGCTGGGAGTCTGGGAGGAACCTTTCCAGGCTGAGTTGACCATCCATCCATTCACCACTAATCCATCGTTCCTTCCCTGCTTCTGAATTCAAAGAGAGCCCCCTGTTTCTCACTCTCTCTGCTCAGTGTTTTCCCCTTCTCTAGAATCTGTGCTGTTGTGGAAAGCAATTCTGTTTGCCTGTTTGCTGATGGATCCTTTCCGTGGCAAGGAAGGAAGCTCTCCGAGGAGCAATTGAGACTGTAAGTGCCAGTTGATGAGGCGGGGCGAAGAAGGTAGACTAATCTGGGGGAATTGGAAGCCATTCTCCGCTGTGAATCCCTGCACTTCTGCTGCAGAGCGGGGGTGAAGAAGGTAGACTAATCTGGGGGGAATTGGAAGCCATTCTCCACTGTGAATCCCTGCACTTCTGCTGCAGAGCTAAGGAATTTAACCAAAAATTTACAATTCTGCAACACTTTAAAGGACAGGCCGTAACATTTTACTGCCTGCACCGGGCATTCCTCACCCTCTAAGACAAGCTGAACAGTAACTAAAGCCAGCTAAACAATTATGATGCAGTGGAGGCAGGAAATCTCATATATCTCTTTCCCAGGCATTAAAAAAATGCAATAACCACAAAATAAATAACTAATTATTTTAATCCTCTTTTATGACACCCAGATTATCCTGCCTAGAGTGGCCACAACACTGTGCGCTAGCGTCATGCTTCATGATGATGAAGAAAATGTTTCAGGTTCCTTTGAAAAGGAACAACCGTTCAGAGACCACCGGAAGTCTCAACCGACATGAGCCTCTGGTTTATTTATAGTGCATCACCCCAATGTACGGTGAGCAGCCGTTTTAAGAGGAGGCCCTAAATAATTCGGGGGGGTAACCATTTTGCATTTCTGCTTCTGTGCCCAGAACATGGTGGGAATGAAACAGTAATTTATTTCCTATTTATTTTAAGAAGCATTCGGGGCAATGAACAGGGTGAGACCGGCGCCTCTTACCAGCTCTGCGTAATCGTTGATTTCGGAGCACTGGTATCCGTAGGGAAACATCAGGAGTTGTGAGTAGCTGTGGATGCTAAGAAATGCCTTGACGTTTCCGTGGCTCTTGATAAACTCCACGATGGACCTCACTTCCACTTCGGAGTTGGGTTTGGGTCCATGGTAAGAATCTGAGCAAGGGTTATCACTGGCTCCCGGTCCTGTTTCAGGAAATGGGGTAAAAAGTCAAGCATCCCCGTCAAAATGCCTCCATCTATGTAGTTCGGCATCCCCCTCCAGCCTTCCATAACCTGTGGCTCCCCAGCCATGTTGAACTACTTTTCCAAAATCCTCTCAACACCGGTGGCGTCATCGGGGGACAAAAAAGGGAGCAAGGGAGAAGCCATGTTTGCTGCCTGGATTTTTGGGTGAAAAGTCAGGATAAAAAGGCAATTCAAGGTCTAATCATACAGGCAGGCCTTTTGACTCATTTCAATATCCTACTTCATTTATATCAATATATATTTATACAGAGTCACGTGATATATAAGTCACTTGGCATGTTCACGTGGCTCTTTTTCCTTTAGATAAATTTCTTGAACTTTGAACAGTTTTTGTTGGCTTCAGGTGCCGACCCAACGAAATCAAATCATGTTCTCTTCGGTTTCAGGAATACGCTGCTCCAAAAATTGCATTTTTGTCTGCTTGTTAAAAATACCTAAACGATATATTGCTAAAGCTGCATCCTAAATTTTTGGGAAGAGCTTTAAAAGCCCTCTTGGAAAAGGCTTTGTAACACAACGTTTCTCTTGGCCATTCTTCAGTTTCAGGGAGTTTGGTTTCTCAAAGGACACTAGATGGGGTGTTTTTCCATGTTAACAAGGGAAGGGATGAGCGAAGATGAATGTTACAATAAAGAAGTGATGCCACGGTAAACTCTTGGGGGACAGAAGGGTGATACATCGCTCAGCATTTGAAAAAAAAAATTAAAAGGGAACAGGTATGTGTCCATGCAGTCCCCAGGGTGCCGAAAACAGAAGTGGGTGTAAAGTAAATTAAGCAGTTATGTTCACACCTGCCAGATGGATGTGGAGAGAAGAGATTCAGGGATCGGATCATTTTAAAAAGCCTATGTCAGCACAGCTGGAAAAAAAATCGACCGGCCGGTCAAATCAATCCATCTTATCTGTGCATTATGTGAACGGAAATTTATAAAATTCTATCCCAGGCCAGTTTGATGTAATGGAATCCCTGGTCCTGACAGCCCTGTTGATCATGGGTAGAAAGCCACAGTGAGGTCTAGGAACTTGGCACTGACTGTGATGTGGCTCATCCTATGGAGGGGAGATGCAAGATGAGCCAGGAAGTTGCTTCAAGAGCCTCCAACAAAGGGGAAGTCTACCTCCAAAGCCGGCGTCCCAGTTCCTGTTGGGATCTACTCCAATACAACTGCTGTCGGGAGTCTTGGAGCGGGTCTTTCGCCACATACGATTCTGGAGGCCCGAAAAGAAAACAGCGCTATTGCCCTAGGCTGAAGTAGGAAAGTGATGGAAAAGATGATAAAAGCCCCTTTTCCTTGGTTGTATTGAATGAATTTCTCCGAGAGTTCAAACATAACTAATTATAAGTAAAAGTAGTTACAAGTAACTGCTTTGTTAGTTTCAGAGTAACAAAGGTGGAACTGAGCTCTATTTCATAGGCTGTGTCACTAGTGATTAAAAAGTTACTTTTTGGTGTAACAAATAATCTCGTTACTTTCAAATGTTACTTCTAAAGATCATTTTTGACTATTTGTTTTCAAGTAGTGTGTCATTCTTAATCAACCCTAAACACTAAGGGAAATATTTTTTTCTTTCCTCTGTTATATTTGTGTAAATATTTTCAAGTACAGTATCAGAACTGGCCACTAGGGAGACCCAATGAATATTTCTTTGTATTTTTTCCGGCCGGCTGGTAATAAGAGTGCCAAGCATGGACAATACAAGAGGCAATGCAACATTTTTGTGAATGGGAAACAAGCTGTCTGTCCCCAAACAATCAGTAAAACAAAGAGTTTCTTTAAAAAAAATAATGCTGTAAGCTTTCACCTGCCTGTACCCATGAATTAACATGTCTTCCAGACCTTTGTCCTTGCCCATGAGACCAATGTTAAATTATTGGCATTCTGTCAGCAGATTATTGTTTCAATTATACATATCTTTCTACTTTTTGTCTTTATTTGCAACTTTTGTATACAGTAGGACCCCTGTATCTGTAGAGGATAGGTTTTACCCCCACCCCCCGCTGCAGATGCTGAAAAACGCAGATTATAACAACCACTATTTTAATAGTGGATGCTATTGATACCAGATACCATGGTCTCTGGCTCTTTCTACTGGCCAGTTCTGTAACTACATTTTTGAAAGTATATACAGTATTTCTAGGATTTTTTCTTTTCATATTTTCAGACCAGGAATAAGTGAATCAACTGATACCAATCTTGCAGATATGGGTTTTTTACTCGCCATAAGATGCTTTGTGTCTTTTCTGGAGGGGAGGGGGAGGGCTTCTTATAAACCTTAATCATCATCATCATCTCCATTTTAGGACTGCGAAGCACTGGAAGCAGTCAAGATGATCAGAATCTTCTTTCTAGCTACTGGGTCAGGAAATGAGAACACAAGTACTCGCCTTCGTGTGAGTGAACACATATCCATCGGGATTGGCAACAACCATCAGGAACACATCCATTGTGTTTAACAGGGAGGTCACAGAAGGATCTTGCCCATAGTCAGAGGCCATCTGGAGAAGGCAGAAGAAAGGTTACAGTCTGGGTCAAACTAGACATTAGCCACCATTTCTGCTGTTGACTTGTGTAAGGGAACCTTTGCAAGTCTTGCCAGCCAATTGCTGCTTGTTGATGAGGTGTAGTGTTTCTGGACGCACACCCTGTCACATGATCAGTCCCAAGCCAAAGTATGTAATCAGATAAAACCTTGTTAGCAAGAGGCAAATAACCAAGGGTTTATATGGCTTCCCCTTAGGTGGACCGAAATCATCAGGAGGTTTCTGGCTATTGTCACATTTATTCCATATTTTCGGGGGACGGCTAGGGATATTTCTAGCTTTAGCTTTGTTTTCTTCAATTACAATTTTGTTGTTTGCTTTTTTTTTTCAAATAAGAAAACTGCTGAAGGATCCACACAAGCATGAACTGCAGTGAGGATATTAGCCATCGCTCAGGTGTCTTCCCGATGGAGCTTGGGCGCCGGCACATTTTCTTACCCGGAGGAAGGTAACAGAATTCACTGGGACTCACATCCTTACCAACTTTATAGCAATCTCTCCTTGTAGCATCTGGGAATGGGCTGCGTTGGGTCTCTATCTTGAGAAACACAACTCTAAAATCTTGTCCCAAGGGCACATAACAGAAGACAAGCTTAACCAGCTATATCAAATGCCCAGTCCACAGATGGCAACATACAGATGGCATACTGTGAGTGACCTCCCATCCCTTGAACCTAGCATTTTTCATCACTTGATGCTGCACTCCCTATTTAGAAATGGTGCTCTCTGAAGTCATACAATCTGATTGTCCTAACACACGTTTTTGGCCACTCTGCCTTTTGCAAGCCGCCTTGCTTTTTTCAACAATCTGTCATCTGTGGGCTGCGGGCAGACCTTTTTCGCAGTCCACAGGGCAGTGGCGTGGGTGACCCACTCTCGAGCATGGATCCCCGCATCGATCCAGATCGCAGGGCGGTTCTTTCCTCCAGTACTGAACTATGGAACAAAACACAAACGTTGGAAAAGTCACCATTCATTTCATCACTAAAATTGTAGCCCACTTTGTCACCAAAGGATGCTCAAGGTGGCAAATATAAGAAAAAATGAATAGACAATACATAGACTAAAGCAAAATGATTTTTTTAAAAAAACCCAGTTAACTGTGGCCTATAGAGTGACCATTGCAAGACCTGTGGCAGTAAAAAATATCTGCCTGCACGACAGACAGACGTTCACCCTAAAAAGAGACAGAAGGATTTCAGCGAAGAACTCCAGAGGACCAGAGAAGCCGTTAAGAATGTTGTCTCCTGGATTGCCACAAAATGTCCTTCAGAGGTTGCTTTAACAGAAAGAACAGGCACTGCGTTGTGGCCCCCAAAACACCACATGCCTCGCATCTGGGAACTGCGGAATCTTGTTTGGAACCAGAGGTGTCCCACACACTGTCTCCAAAGTCATTTCCATCCATCCTAGGAAAAATGATGAGCCAAAAAGTGGCTGATTCCTTCCCTAGAAGCCTCTGCCAGGTAGAGAAGAGATTGCCTGGGAGGCAGATGGGATGGGGGGGGGGTTCCCCAGAACACCCCCAGATTTATAGCTTTAAGTGTATCAGTAAACCGGTGGAGAAGATGGAACTGCCAGACACGGTTTACTGGGACTTCCAAAAGGATCTGGATGGAGTTCTTTCTGAAAGTCTCCTTAGCAGACCTCGAGAGTCACAAGATTAGAACAGAGAGGTCCTGCCGTGGATTGGAAATGAACGGGAGGCAGAGGGTAAAATTAATAGTCAAATCTCACAAGGGCCAGGCAGTGAATTCCAGAGGATCCGCATTAGGGGGAAAAAATTTTTTAACTACTTTGGGGTCAGTGAAGAGGCCAGCTGTGTGGATGGCACTATATTATTGTTCTGTTTTTTTTTTTAAGGGTGTTTGGAATTTAAGAAAAAGAGCTATGACATGCTCCGGAAAGTGTTTGAAGAACGGAAGGAAAAGCAAACAATACCTTGAGCACATAAAGAGGTCGTTGTTCGTAAGACTCTCCGATCTGCTGTTTGCTCACAATCTCCGAGTGTTCGGCCACAAGATCATCCATCGCTTGATAAATCTAAAAATTCAAAATACTGCTGTTTTTTTTTACTGTATATTCCCAGCCGATAGAAATGCACAAAGGGATTGCAGAGTTTTGAATGTTGGTTTAATTCCTTTAGCTGAGCCGTGGGGTGTGCGGGGATCCACAGAGCAGAATACCAGAAGGGGTCCCAAAATGCAATCTATGTCACCCTCTGCAGTTTACGAAAGGAATTTCCCCAAGATCTGGTGTTAGCATCCTAGCCAGAGCGACTCACAGACAACCGTTCCTTCCCATACCCCAACCAGATAGCAGTGGGGCTTTATGACAGCATGTCCGTTATGTGTGTGGCCACCTCCTGCGTGACCTGAGAGGAAGCAAGAGAGAAAAAATTGGGGTGTGGGGAGGGAGAAGGTGGAAGGGGACCTTTGGACCTACTTACGGATTCTAAAGGGTGATAAGCCCCATAGTTGAAGCTCCGGCTCCCACGTTCCTTCCGCTCACTGAGGTTCATCTCCCGGGTTTCTTCGTCAATCAAAGCCTAAGGCAAGAACATATTTTATCAGGGATGTGTTTTCTCTCTCTGTTGTAAGCCCTTCCCAACACTCCTGAGACCCTGGGCTCCGTCCACAACTGCAAAACCAACAAGGATACCAAATAGGGGGGTGTCAACAAATCAGCCTGGCAAGGATTGTCAGTGCTCAGGATGTACCTAAAATGCGGATTACAGCAGGCCCCCTGTATCTGCGGGATCTGTATCCACTGATTTGCTCTTCCACAGCCGGAAAATATAAAAATATATTAAAAGAAAAATCCTAGAAAAATATATTTCCAAATATGTAGTTACCAGAACTGGCCACTACGGGGCGGCCAGAGATCATGATACATGTAGCGTGCACAGTACTATAATCTGGGATTTTCAGCGTCTGTGGGGTGACTCGAAACTGATCCCCTCGGGATATGTGGATTCCACTGTACCTTTGGGGGGGAATTCAGAAGATAAGGGGGAAGCTAGGGAAGGCAGAACGGGAGGCAGATATGACTGCCGGGAACAGAGAGTGGGAGCACACAGTGCGGGAATAATCAGAGGACGTAGAAGAGAGGGCTCCGGCCCCTTCCTTCCTCCTGTAACGGAAAGCACCTCAGCACTCGTAGCTGGTCTCTCTTAAATGACCACAGCAGTGCAGAAGTCCCGGCCTGTGTTTCGCGGGGTGGGGGCGGGGGCGGGGGCGGGGACACAGGACTCTGCACTGCAACATTTTGTTGCAAGGTGTGTTTTTCAATCGTATCATGATGGCATTGTCTAGGTCAGGATTTTTCCCGGTCCTTGGTGGCAGGCTGAAGATCTGCTTTTGAACCATAGGAGAATGAAAATGCACCAGCTTGGGATTCCCTGGGTCTTTGTAGACTCTGTAGAATCCCCTGGTTTTCAATGCAATCCTATGGGAAATGCAGATTCTACATAAGAACTTTTCCACTTGAGAACCACCTTCCAATACGGATTAAGTTCGTAAGTAGAGACCCCACTGTAGGGGGGTGTCAACAAATCAGCCTGGCAAGGATTGTCAGTGCTCAGGATGTACCTAAAATGCGGATTACAGCAGGCCCCCTGTATCTGCGGGATCGGTATCCACTCATTTGCTCTTCCACGGCCAGAAAATATTAAAAAAATTAAAAGAAAAATCCTAGAAAAATATATTTCCAAATATGTAGTTACCAGAACTGGCCACTACGGGGTGGCCAGAGATCATGATACATATAGCGTGTACTATAATCTGGGATTTTCAGCGTCCGTGGGGTGACTCGAAACTGATCCCCTCTGGATATGTGGATTCCACTGTGCTCTTGGGGGGAAATTCAGAAGATAAGGGTGAAGCTAGGGAAGGGAGAACGGGAAGAAGATACGAGAATAATCAGAGGACGTAAAAGAGAAGGCTCCTTGCCCCTTCCTTCCTCCTGTAAAGGAAAGCATCTCAGCACTCATAGCTGGTCTCTCTTAAATGACCACAACAGTGCAGAAGTCCCGGCCTGTGTTTCGCGGGGTGGGGGCGGGGGAACAGGACTCTGCACTGCAACATTTTGTTGCAAGGTGTGTATTTCAATCGAATCATGATGGCATTGTCTAGGTCAGGATTTTTCCCGGTCCTTGGTGGCAGGCTGAAGATCTGCTTTTGAACTGTAGGAGAATGAAAATGCACCAGCTTGGGATTCCCTGGGTCTTTGTAGACTCTGTAGAATCCCCTAAGTTTCAGGCTGCAAAGTCTAAAACCAGCGATCCTCACCACGGCCATCGCCCCGGGGACTTGCTGATTCATCCCACTTTGTACCTGCATGGTCTGAGCCTGCTATACACGGTGCGCTGTGGATGCAGCCGTGCTAAATTTGATTTTATGGAGATGTTGGTCTGCTTGTCCTTGTCCTCACCTGGACATCTTCAATCAGGATACTGTATTTTATCTGACGGGACTCGAGGAAGACTTTGACGTCTTGGAGGCAGGCGAAAGGCACTCGAATGTCCACGGCTTCGTTCGCGTTTGCAGGGGACCGCCAGAAATCAAGCTGGCAAGCAGGGCAAGGAAAACGTGGTCAGGGTTCATCGAAAGAAAAAACTCCAAGCTCTAAGGAGCAGCTGATCAGAAGCCCAAACCTCTCTGCAGACTCTCAGGAAATGCAAGAATATATTTACAAAGAAGAGAAAGAGAAGCACAACATAGAATTAGGAACTGGGTTGTGATCAGCTCCATCCCATTGAGCTTGGTTGTAATATAGATTTTTTTCCTTGCATGGGAAAGTTTTGAAAAAGACCACGTGCAAAAGGTGCAGAAGGACCCCCTTATCCGTGGGATCAGCATCCACTGGTTCACTGCCTGACAATACTAAATAACCTCCCCCCTCCCCACTGAAATCTGTCGTATTGGATTTCCAGGGTGTGTTTGGCAGAACTGGCCACTAGCTCAATACTTATCAGCACCCCCTTGTAGAGAGAGCCATGCAATGTTTAGCCTTCAATTTCAGCATTTTTTTGGTCTCTGCAAGGGAGGGGACACTTGGAGATGATGCCCCATCGATACCACAGTCCTACTGTACTTCCTTTATTGTTACCTTTGCATTTCCTCCAAAGAGAGCCGAAAGCAGCAAACATGGCCTCCCTCTTCCCATTTTGTCTTCACACTCGCCCTGCGAGGTAGGCCAGACGGGCCACCCAGTCAGTTTCATAGCAAGGTGGAAGGGGGCGACGTTCGGACCTCAGTTTGCTCCATTGCGAATCGACTCAAAGTCGGCCCTGCCTGCCAGCCCCTGAGACTTTGCTTTCCAATACACCTGCACGGCCAGGGCCCCAATCCACACACCTCCGCCCAGTGTGTCGTGATCTCCTGTGTTCTGGACAAAAGCTGAGACTCTCTACTCCCTTCAAGCTTGTGCCCTGAGTACCTCAATCCTAGAGGGGAAAAAGACTGTTCCTCTTCCTAACTGATTCCAATACCCTGTTGTGCCCTGAGTACCTCAACCCTAGAGGGGGAAAAGACTGCTCCTCTTCCTAACTGATTCCAATACCCTGTCCTGGATCTTCAGATCCTAGAATCATGACGTTGGAAGGGGGCCTTGAAGGCCATCAAGTCCAACCCCCTTCCCAGTGTGAGAATCCAAATCAAAGCAGATTAGACAGAGGGTGACCCCATTTTCTCTTGAAGGCCTCCAGCATTGGAGCGCTCACCACCTCCCCATGAGGTCACGAGTTCCGTTGTCATACTGCTCTAACAGTTAAGAAGTTATATATATATATTTATTCAACCATGCATGGAAAAAATCAATATGGGTTCCGTTGTCATACTGCTCTAACAGTTATATATATAAATAAATATATTTTGGTTGAAGATGTATATATAAATTATTCAACCAAAATCTGGCTTCCTGTTGCTTTTGGTTGAAGATGTGTATATAAATTATTCAACCCAAATCTGGCTTCCTGTTGCTTGAGCCCCAAAGTGGGGGTGATTCCCCTCATGGGCTATGTTGTGTCCCCGTTCGATTTCCCCACTGTGCCTCCTTGACGAGCTGGACTGGATGATCCAGAAGATTTTTAGGATCCTGGCACACACAGACACACACCCAGACACTCCCCCCATCAGCATCATCCCATTTCAATCAGGGAAGAATAAAATATCACCCTCCGAGCCTTTTTCCGGGGCACCGGCACAACCGGTTAGAAAGAGCCACGGTGCAAGGTCGAGGCTCAGCTTTCAAAACAAGCTGCCCATCCCGGAGGCTCTGCCCGTCATCCCAAGTGTACTAATTCTCATTTGGGGAAGGGATAATTAACAAATTGCCACTAACGAAAGGACACACCTGCAAAGGTTCCCTCGCCTGGAGTTGTTTCAGCAGGCGGACCTGCGCTTCATTGCACGGCTCCACGCGGAGAACTTGGTCTCTGCAACAGCAAGATTTTATTCGCACCGGCATTACGGCGACGTTGGCTGTCTGTTGGCATCGGTACCCATCGCCTCCAGGCTCCCCTTTGGACAACGTTGGCTGTCTGTTGGTACCCATCGCCTCCAGGCTCCCCTTTGGCCCAGATGTTCCCAGTCAGATGTTGTGGATGTCTTTCCTTGACAAGGGCCACCCAACCAGAGGCATCCACAGGGTTTCTGGAACCGCTCTCCTAGAAAAGCAGGCGTGCCCTGCGCCCACATCCTGTCATGCTAGGGAAGATAGGAACGGCTGTGGAGCCTGAAGTTGGGGGTTCGATTGCCGGCTGGGTGCCTTCTGCCAGTAGAGCCAGCCTGTGTGGCTTCGGGCAAGCTGTACCCTCCCAGAGCAGCCCCCAGAAGAAGGTGATGATGAACCCCTTTTGAGTACCCTCTACCTAGAAAATCCCGAAAAGGGTTGCCGTAAGTTGGAACTGACTCGGCGCCATATGAATATGATATTATTAAATGTGCCACTGCATGGATTGTTCATCCTGAAGGTTACATTCGATTTGGCATGGACAAAAATCAAAGTGAAAACTTGAAACAACACGCCGTAAATCTAAGCATTAGGAAATCCAGTCTATTTTGTTGGAGAACTCTCCTTTTGTTCAGAAGGCAGGGAATGGTTTATTTCGCTCTGATTTGGCTATAATTGCTTTTCTCTGCTTTTGGCATGTGCTATAACCTGATCTGATGGGGGGCCGGGGTGTCTGTGGGTGTCCAGTGGCGGAGTAGCTATTGTCTCCCTCTTAAATGTTTTTATTTCAGTATTTTTATGATGATCATGCTTGCCAGATTTAGTCCTGTATCAGAGAAGCGCTATGTCACTTCAGAAACTTTTTTTAAAAATTAAAAAGGATGAAGGGAAGGAGTAGGTTCCGGTGGAAAGTACCAAGATGATAATGAGTCATATTGGTCTGGATGGCTATACAGTGATTTCACCTGCAAAAACCAGCAGGAACCTGGTTGGCAACTTTTTAAAGCAAAATCTTCCCTTGTGTCACCACCTCTTATCTTAGATGGAAGGATTACTTTTTTAGATGGCAACTCCCGGAATACTTTAAGCGATGTGACCACTGACCGCGCTGGTCCCAAAAAAGGGAAATTTTCCTGGCTCTGGAAACCACAAGCTCAGGATAGTGAGACTGGAATAGATTCAGTTCCATGTTTCAAAGTTTGTGACATTCTTTGGCTTCACGTGGGTCCCCTCTTTTTTTAGTTTGTATTTACGTCTTTGCAATCAAACTTTCCAAAGTACAAATATTAATTCCGACAGAAGAATCGACCCGGTCTTGACTGCATCTGAAATATATAATTGTGTGTGTGTGTGTGATAAAAGCATTTTGAAAATATGAGAACCTCACAGGCTTGTTTGTTGATGGCACAAGACAAGGCCGTTTTGTAACTGCTCCCAGGCTGTGGAACTCCCCTCCACTGGAAATCAAGCTAGCCCCCTCTCTTTGCTTCCTTTCCCTCCCAGACAAAGACCTTTCTTTTAGGATAACATTTAGTCAGGGACTGTCTGCTAAGGAAGGGGTTTCAACAAGGACAGTACTTCCTTTTTAAAAACACACATTTAAATGGGCTTTTAAATGCCTTTTTATTTAGCAGTTTTAATGTGGGATGTATTTGTTTTTTTAATATTGTAATGTAATGTGGTCTTAGCTCTTTTAATAGATGGGATTTTTCAAAATGTGTTAAGCCACATTAGGTCCATTTGTTGGGAGAAAGATGAGGTACTGTGTTCAATAAACGAAAAAACGAATGAACGAACAAATAAATAAATAACCAAATGCTCACCCAGCAAATGTTTCCAGACCCCAGGTAGTTCTGCTGAGGATTCCAAGAAGCAAAATCAGCCACATATTGGAAAAGTTGTCCAAACCCAGGAAAATAATGGCCCAGAAGGCGGCTCTCTGTATGAATCTCAAGCTTGCCAGGACCTCCGTTTTGAGTCGTTTTTCCAGAGAGCCTCCATCTGCTTGAGTTCCCATGCACGTTGAAAAGTTCAAGGCATCAGAGGAGATAAGGCAGAATCTTGGAAGGAGTTGCTTACGGTGATGCAAAAATCATTATGAAGTAGAGGAGTTTGATCAGCAGGGTTAACAAACAAAGCTCAGGAAGAAACCATGTTTTCAAGGTGCCTCCATCAATCAAAATGCCCATGGCCTTTGGGGAAAATCTGCCATTCCTCCATCCCTTGTGGGAAGACTGATAAGGACTCCATTCAGACTGGAAACAAGTTTTGGCTCTGTCTGATGGCAGAAAGTGAGGAGGAATGAAAGAACCTCATAATGAGGGTGAAAGAGGAGAGTGCAAAAAATGGTCTGAAGCTCAACATCAAAAAAACTAAGATCATGGCCACTGGTCCCATCACCCCCTGGGAAACAGAAGGGGAAGGTATGGAGGCAGTGACAGATTTCACTTTCTTGGCCTCCATGATCACTGCAGATGGAGACAGCAGCCACGAAATTAAAAGACGCCTGCTTCTTGGGAGGAAAGCAACGACAAACTGAGACACCATCTTCAAAAAGAGACATCATCTTGCCGACAAAGGTCCTCACACTCAAAGCTATGGTTTTTCCAGTAGCAATGAATGGAAGTGAGAGCTGGACCATAAAGAAGGCTGACTGCCGAAGAATTGATGCTTTTGAATTGTGGTGCTGGAGGAGGCTCTTGAGAGTCCCCTGGACTGCAAGGAGAACAAACCTATCGATTTTGAAAGAAATCAACCCCGAGTGCTCACTGGAAGGACAGATCCTGAAGCTAAGGCTCCAATACTTTGGCCATCTCATGAGAAGAGAATACTCCCTGGAAAAGCCCCTGATGTTAGGAAAGTGTGAAGGCAAGAGGAGAAGGGGACGACAGAGGATGAGATGGCTGGACAGTGTCACCGAAGTTACCAGCATGAAATGGACCCAACTCCAGGAGGCAGTGGAAAACAGGAGGGCCTGGCGTGCTCTGGTCTATGGGGGTCACGAAGAGTCAGACACGACTTAACGACTAAACAACATTTTATTTACTGGGCCTTTCTCTCCCCCTCCAACCTACTGTCAACAAGGTTGACACTAGAGAGCACCACATACTATGTCGCTTTACCCATTCGATTGATGTAGCTCAGCCATTCCAAAGTTAACTAATTCTTTTATTTGGGAATTAAATTGCTTTTACGCTGCTTATTTTTTTATACTTCACTTCCCACTGTTTTTCTTTTCTTTTCTATTTCTTTAATTTTATGGTGGCAAGGTAAGTGGAGCCAACCTTAGCAACTTGGGTTGGTGGCCAACCTCAACAGTGGAGATGAGAGAGAGAGGTGGCAAGGAAGAGACTGATCAAGGCTCCATGAGATGAGTCAACAGTTGGTTTTCCCTTGAAACATGGAAACCCTTCCATCGTATGAGAAGAGAGTCAACAGAGAGGACGGGAGTTTCTCTGCCTCCTCGACTCTGCTTCCCAGACACTTAGCTTCATCAGGGCTCAAATGCAGCATGTCAAGAAAAGAGCACAATGTAGGCACCTGGCAAGTCTTTCTGGGAAAGGCATCCCATTTTTTATTTCCTGGGCCTTTCTCTCCCCCTCCACCCTACCGTCAACAATGTTGACACCAGAGAGCACCACATACTATCTCGCTTTACCCATTCGATTGATGTAGCTCAGCCATTCCAAAGTTAACTAATTCTTTTATTTGGGAATTAAATTGCTTTTACGCTGCTTATTTCTCTCCTCCCACTGTTTTTCTTTTCTTTTTCTTTAATTTTATGGTGGCAAGGTAAGTGGAGCCAACCTTAGCAACTCGGGTTGGTGGCCAGCCTCAACAGTGGAGATGAGAGAGAGAGATTGCAAGGAAGAGACTGATCATGGCTCCATGAGATGAGTCAACAGTTGGTTTTCCCTTGAAACATGGAAACCCTTCCATCGTATGAGAAGAGAGTCAACGGAGAGAACGGGAGTTTCTCTGCCTCCTCGACTCTGCTTCCCAGACACTTAGCTTCATCAGGGCTCAAATGCAGCATGTCAAGAAAAGAGCACAATGTAGGCACCTGGCAAGTCTTTCTGGGAAAGGCATCCCATAAAGAGGATGCCACCACTGAAAGGATGTCCTCTCATCTTTGGAAATCTATATTTCTTGGATGTTGGTCTTAATATTTTTAATATTTTCACACAGAGATAAGTGAATCAGCGGATACTGATCCGGCAGATAAGTGGTTCCTACTAAAATATAAAGCATAATCATTTAACTATTACAGATAAAAACAACAGAACTCAGAGCAAGAAAGACCTGTACAGTGGGGTCTCAACTTACGAACGGCTCGACATACGAACGTTTTGACTTACGGACCGATCTCATAGGAATATATGGACTTGACTTACAACCTTAGATTCGAGTTACGATCTCTTTCCCTCCCCTTTTTTTTAAAGCTAAGTCATCTTAGCTTAAAAGGAAAAAAGAAAAAATATCCCCCTCTAGTGGCAGAAGGCAGAATAGCAGCTTCCCATTAGTTTCTATGGACGAAAAGAGCAGATTCAGATTAAATGGTTTTCAATGCATTCCTATGGGAAATGCAGATTCGACTTACGAACTTTTCGACCTGAGAACTGCCTTCCAATACGGATTAAGTTCGTAAGTCGAGACCCCACTGTATTAGCTCAGGAAACTGTATTTTAACATCAGCAACTCCCCAGTCATGCATTTACAGCTTCCGTAAGTGGAAAATAGTGCGATCATTTAAAAGGCATATTTTAATAATCATTAACAGATCCTGTCCCTAAACGGATCTAAGTCTCCATCTTTCCTGCCACGTTAAGGCAAACTGAAAGAGGTCGAGGGAAAAGTGGCCTTGCTGTGGTCCGTCTCCCAAAGAGCTTCTGGTTCCTGATCAAAGAAGTGCTGAGCCAGCCATTCTCTTGTCCTCTTGGCTTTGCAGTGGGCAGAATACTACTTCCTCAACCAATACCCCTGTTCGGCCTCTCTCCTCTCATGGCTGCAGAGGCTGGCACTGTCATCTGTCCGGCTCCCGTCAACTGTCTGGCTCCTTTCGCGACTGGACCCCTTTGAATTGAAGGTGCCCAGGCCAGAGGAATTTTTGTCCCAGAAGGTTTGCTGGCTGGCCTCGGGCTGGTAATTCTTTAGTCGCTTCCTGACAGAAGGTGAGCTTGAGGGATCTTTGGGACCTGCTTTATCTGCCCCTCCAAAGAGCTTGAAGCCAGAAACAGGGTCTAACAACAGGAAACAAAATGGTTAAAGTAGTTTTGAGTTGATGTCGGGATAAGATAATAATAATAGAGGTGTCTTTCATAGTGAAACAGAAAGAAAGAAGGAAGGAAGGAAGGAAATCTCTGAGATGGTAAGACTTCAGATTTAACCACCGGGCAGCATGGAGTAGAATAGACAGTCCTTCCCAATCTTGTTCAACGAGCACTACCAAATAACTGGCCATGGATTTGGAACCTCTGTGCTTCTTCTGCGTCACCTCCGCTCTGTAATGCCTAGCCTGCCAAAAACCCTTGTGTGTGATATTTTTGTGGTCTGATAAAGGTATGATCCAGCCTCGCCTCTGGATTAAATAAGGAGGAAGATTTAGACCCACTGAAATATATTTTAGCTGGTTTATTGGGATCCATGCCTCTGCATACAGATAATAGTTTTTCTCCATCAAGAAGCCACACGACTCTGTCAACCTGTTTTGAACTTATGATGAACCTATGAACTAATGATTTCTAAAGGGTTCTATCATTAATAGTTCTTGCAAACTGAAAACCACGGTTGAGTCTGAAAACTAGAGGGAATCGTGGTGATGGAGTTTTGCGGGGTTCTTATCTTCCCCTCCAAAGAGCTTGAAGCCAGAAACAGGGTCTAGCAACAGGAAACAAAATGGTTACAGTAGTTTTGAGTTGAGGTCGGGATAAGATAATAATAATAGAGGTGTCTTTCATAGTGAAACAGAAAGAAAGAAGGAAGGAAGGAAGGAAATCTCTGAGATGGTAAGACTTCAGATTTAACCACAGACAGAAGTAGACTGGCGTAGGTGATGCCATCTAAGAAACTGACATTTCTCTAGGACCTGAAGAGGGCTAAGCATTGCTACAAAACCTTGGCTCGAGCAATAGCTTCAAGGCAAGTTCCACTCTCTCCACAACCCTTCTTGAGGCTTAGGTGGTATGGAGGAGGAGGATTAGAGAAGAAGCCTGAAGTCAAAACGATCTGGCCAGCAGTAGCAGCTGTCCGTCCGAAGCCAGGTGGCTCGGAAGACAGGGTTGGCAGAGTCAGTGAAAAACAAAGGTGTTAAAGTATCAGCCAACGGTCTGTCTGCCCTCTTTATAGAGCAGGTTTGAACAGCAGTTGCTTTAAGTAACCGAGAACTAGCCGGCTATCCAGCCAAGTCTGGAACCTAGCGACCCATTTAGTCAAAGTAATTGCTGTTATCAGCTCAGGGGGCAACTTGCTACCAGATCTCTGTCTCTTTGGTTCAATAACATTTGGTCTGTGCCATTTGTTTAATAATACTGATTTGAAATAGGAGCAGAATGAAGGTTTACCTTTGGAACATTTCAGCCTATTCCAAGATAGATGTCCACGGTGTTTCCTTATCTGTGCCCAGAAAACAATGGAAAACAATTATTTGAACCGTTATGTTTAGGGAAAACAAAATTACCGATCTGACGGATATAGATGACAGATAGACAGATACTGTAGCTTTAAAAGGACTCCAGACAGCTTACAGTGTTAAAAAATAACCAGTGTGGAAGCAAAATAATAATAATAATGATTACAGTACCATATTTTAAAAGAATTGAACAAATATATTAAGAACTTGTAGACAACAATTGTACTAAAACAAATTGAAAACCTTGTGGCATTAGCAAATGACTGGACTTATTGAAACAGATACCTGTATTTAAGAACCCCACATGAGTTTTGAAATGCTTGTCTATACTTGTCTGATTTTATGGGGAAATGTCAGCTATGACAAACCTAGAAAAGAGTGGTCAATCTACCTTGTTTCCTCGAAAATAAGACCTAACCTGAAAATTAGGTGGTGCTTCGCAAGATGAGCGCTCCATTTTACGATGAAATCACATTACTAAATCAAACTTTGCAAACTTTCCGATAGTTACCATTTTTTCCTCAACCAATTTTATTTTTATTTTATTTTATTTATACAACCAATCTTTTGTCCAACTTTCTAAGTGCATGAATCTTACCATATTCCTAAAGAGATAGAGGATCCTTAAAAGGCCAACAACCAAAATATAACCAAGTAAGATTTGTACTAAAAACCAGCAGACATCCTCCTCCTCCTCCACATTGTTGTCAAGCTGCACATCTTCTTCCGGGACATCATCTACACAGTCTAGACTCGAATCATGCCACCATGAATACAGGAAAGGAAATGCCATGGAAGTTGCTTGCTGAGCAAGCTAAATGGCAGTGGGGAGCAACGGAGGGTGCCTCAAGATAAAACTACAGGAGCAGCTGCGTTGGCACCTTAGCAACAAATGGTTGGCGTTGAACAACTGGAACCTGACTCTTGCATCATTCTTGGAACCATGGGAACAAGGAACTGAAGAAGAATGCCCATGTCACAAAACTATGACATTTGTCTCATTCAAGATGACTCAGTAAAGTCAATGAAGTTATGTGTTCCCGAAGGCTTTCATGGCCACAATCCGATGGTTGTTGTAGGTTTTTTGGGTTGTTTGGCCGTGTTCATAAGGTTTGTATTGTTGTCATAAGGCAGTAAAAATTGTGCCTTATTTGTGAAAAATCAGCAGCAACTCAACATGTCGTGAAACAAGCTGGACATGAAATTCTATTTCAAAACAGAGAAGAATTGAACAACAACACCAATCATTATGCTAGACAACACAAGGAAGCCACTGAAATCCACAAACATCAGCAAAGGGTCAACAAAAGAGAAGAAAGTCTAAAACTCAACAAAACCTGGCTCCCAGTACTAACAAAAGACAGCCTGTAAAATGGCCAATGAACTCTACCCAGCGACAAGGACCAGTGATCACTGCACACAAAGGACCAACTAACGACACCCATCAGTCACAGTGACAGATCATCTTCCCCTTTATCACAATAATAAACCCACAACAAAAAAACAACTTGATGATCACCATAATCACCCAATCTCCTGAAAAGGACAAAAAGCTGATCCCCACAGCTATAAATACTCAACTATCCAACAAACTGCACCAGAGCACAGAGAGATTTCTGACTCCTGTCCTCTGAAGATGCCAGCCACAGAGACTGGCAAAACGTGAGGAAGAACAAGCTTCAGAACATGGCCAAAAAAACCCAAAAACCTACAACCATCAATGAAGCAAGTTCTGGTTCATTTAATTTAATATGTTCCGGCATCGATAAGTGAAACTGTGGATACTGATCCTGAAGATAGGGAGGGTCCTGCTGGAATGGAAAGGATATGAAAATGAATGCTTAGGAAATCAAATTCATGGCAGTCAGTAAAAAGCAAGCTGCTGAAGAAATGCAGTTAAGGATCCCAAACGAAAGTGTGGAATGTGTTTGCAAATAAACATTCCTTGGAATTTGTTTCGATTCATAATGGGATCACAGCAATGGAAGAAAAGTGAGAATAGTGGTGACCCCGAGCAACTTCCTTGATATGAAGAATGTACCAAATCCTTATAATTGGATCTGGGAATGTGCCGACTGAGATGCTATGCCTTCTGGATTCTATTGTATGGCATGGAGCCATGGATCATAATACAGCAATTATTTGCAAAAAATAAAAATGAAAAGAGGCACACATGAACAATTGAAATCTGGTTTCATAGCAGGAAGCTAAAATGCCTTGGCTCAAGTAGTAACTCATGAAGAAGTACTTTAACAAATGAAGATGAAGAAGTCCTAAGCCATGTAATATACAGAAAGTCAGAATACTTTAACAATGTAATAAATATGTAAAAGACAATCTATAGCCAGGTTAGCTACTGTAGGGGCCCAAATGTCCCATTTTAGAGGGGAGAATCCTCCATTTCAAGGACTGACAGAAAAAAACCTATTTTGAATCTGAAGACGAGAGTCACAGACAGCAAAGATTTATGCCAAATAAAATTTGTCAAAGGGTTTTGCAAGTTTTCCTCCATGCTGTTTAAATTCCAACAATCATTTCTAAGTTTACATTTGTACAGTGAATTTGGTTCAGTCCTCAGTCCAAAGAGAGAATGCAGCCAAGAAATCAGAAAAAGGCTGAGACTTGTAAGACCATCAATGAAGGACCTGGAATAGCTCGTCAAGTGTCAGGAGATGTCCGCTGAGACCAAGATCGAGATCATCCACGCTCTTGTCTTTCCGATCCCCATGTAAGGGTGTGAAAGCTGGACATGAAGAAAGCGGACAGGAATCTCAATGGAAATTGTTTGAAATGTGGTGCTGGAGGAGAGCTTAGCAGATGCTCTGGACAGTCAGAAAGATGGAACAAAGGGGGTCCTAGATCAAATCCACTATCTCTCTGGAAGCAAGAATGCTGCAACGGGTGCCTGTCATATTCTGGCCACCTCATGAGAAGGCAGGATGCTCTGGAAAAGACCATCCTGCTGGCAAAAGTTGGAAGCCTCAGGAAAAGAGGAATATCCCAGACAAGATGGACCGACTCCCTCAAGGAAACCATGGGCTTGAGTTTGCAAGAGCTGAGCAGGGCTGCTGAGGAAAGGACATTTTTGAGGTGGCTCATTCAGGGGATCACCACAAGTCGGAAGCAATTTGAGGGCACAGAAACACAACAGTTCATTCAGCAGAGTCGATTGCATGCAAATTGGCACCCTCTTCCGTCCACTTTGATGTGATTTTCTGGTCCTGCCAAATACCTCAGCCTGGCAGCCCCTCCATGTTTTGTTTGCTGACCGAGAGCTGCGTTTATTTTCCTGTGGCTTTTGTTTGTTTGTTTGTTTGTTTGAATTGTTCCATTGTCAATTTTCATAACTTTTGTAAGATGCATTTGGGGACAATGAAGTGGAAATAAATCAGTGAAATAATGAGATGTTCCTCATGAGCCTGCCTTCATTTTAATGAGAAGGAGGCGAGTGTCTTCCACAGAGCTAAGAAATGCTCTTTTTCATAATTCTTCATTTTTTAGGTACACCTCCAGTTAGAGCTCCCAGATACCCCCATCCAGCAAAGGATTCTGGGAGCCATAGTCCAAAAAAAAGGGTATGTAACGTTCCCAAGCTCTGCTGCTTCCCCAGAACTGGGCGAACACGGAAGCGTCGCC